AAACTCTTTAATCCAGCAAGCAAAGGGCCAAAACCAACTCTTTGGTCTAAGGACTCCACCTGGCGGTCCTCGGTGGAATTAAGTGAAGTTTGGATTGTTTTAGCTTTTTTTATTTTGAAACAATCACAAAGCAAAATTACAGAAAAGTTGCAAGTACAGTACAAAGCAAAGTTTTCCTGAACAATTTGAAAATAAATTACCGTTATGATACCCCCAAATATTTTAGAGGCTATTTCCTATAAACAAGGACCTTCTCCTATAAAACCATCAGAAAATCAGGGAATTCACATTGATGTATTACTACCTATCATCTAGTCCTTTAACTGCATTCCAGTTTTGCCAATTGTCCCAGGAATGCCCTTAGCAAAAGGATCCGGTTTAGGTCATACTTTGCATCTAGTCATCATGTCTCTCTAGTCTTCTTCAACCTAGAACAGTTCTTCAGTCTTTCCTTGACTTTCATGACCTTGAACTTTTTAAAGACTACAGGATAGTAGGCTGTCTCTCAGTGTTCGTCTGAGGTTTCTTCATATTTCTATTCTGGCCAGGCGTCTTGAACAAGAATCTCCCAGAAGTAATGTCATGTTCTCATTGCATCCTAGTAGGTGATACAGGATTTTGATGTGATCCACGATTGGTGATATTAACTTTGATCACTTGATTAAGTCTTTTTCCCCCTTGGCTGTGAAGTGATACCTGCTAAGAGGATGTCCACTACCACCACTGTCCAGCCACCACCATTGTGCTTAAGCCAATGCCACAGGGCAAAAAATAAAGAACTAGTATAAAAAATGTAAAGGAAGAAATAAAACTATCCTCAGATGGTACACTTCCAGAATAGTGTTCCTTTTCTGCACCAGGGCCAACAGTTACGCTGGTGTGCTCACTCTGTGGTCATTTGTCACGGTCTGACTTGCCCTCCTTTCTGTATTATCATGTTTCAAACTAAACATTTAATTGTCTGAAGGCCACAGGTCTAATCACAAATTCGGCCGTGCCCGGTGCCAGGTCGGAGGTGCTGGGATGTTGGGCGGTCCCAGCGGCCTGGCTGGGAGCAGGTGATCCAGCCCCGGTTCTCACGTTGTAGCCCGGGGGCCAAAGCCCAGGACCCAGACGGGAATCCAAAGTCCGGGACCTTTCATGAATCTCACGGGTGCCCGCCACCCTCACCTCCAGGTGCACTAATGCATGAGAAAGTTGCACTCGGGTATTTTCACATTTTGTTTAACTTGCGGAGACAAATGTCTGGCATCAGGGGGTTCTCCAGACTCCAGATACGCTCTAAGAAAGCAACCAGGACCACACACTTTCTCAGAGTGCCCCAGGACCTCAAAGGAGAATGAAGTCGGGGGCGTGGCTCTTCGATTGCTTCGGCCTGGACGTCGAGCTGCGCGCGCACGCGGCGGTGCGATTGGTGCTGCCTGGCGACGGGCGCGGGGCAGGCCGGGATCTCCGTGTGGCGGGAGGCAGCCGGTGTTCCGCGCACCGGGAGCGGGAGGCGGCAGTATGGTGAAACTGACGGCGGAGCTGATCGAGCAGGCGGCGCAGTACACCAACGCCGTGCGGGACCGCGAGCTGGACCTGCGGGGTGAGTCCGGGGACAGGGCGGGCCGTCCCCGGGCCTCGCCTCTGGCCCGCGCCGCGTGTGCCGAGGGCTGGAGCTCGGCCCTCGCGTGCCTGCATGATGAGCCCTAAGCTGGGCGGGCTGCACCGGGACCGGGGCGCCCCGGCCGGAGTCTTGCCGGTGTTACCAAGTGACCATTTCTTAGGCTCTTCCTAGGCCTCTGTTTCGTACTCATTCACATGGCCGACTGGATGGCTTCCTGGCCGTGTCCGCGGGCCTCGGAGGCCTCGCTTGGACTCTTTCTCAGTCTGATCTGTTTGAGGGCCGTGGGAATATACCGAGGGGTTGGTTCTCAGTAAATACGTTACACTGATCTCGTGATACGCTTTGATTATCTCTAATTGGTGAAGGAGGAAGCGAAGTCCGGGAACAAAAGCGATCGTGCTCCAAATATTTCCTTCTTATTAGCTTCAGTTGTCTGATATTTCCCTTTTGCCAAAACATTTTATAGAATGAACTGTTTCACCGAGGCTTGCTGTCCCGGGTCCCCTGTGTAAGTGGTGAAAGCTCTCCGAACTAATCAGATTCCTGTAGCTATTTCAACCTTAGTAAGGCTCCGCAAGAAATTGAGAAGACAGCTATTTAATCAGCGCATCGGAAGGGGACTTCCGGAAGGACCCGAAGAGCAACTTCTCCCGGGATGAGATCATGCCATCTTGGCCTGAGATTTGCTCCCACGGGGACTGCAGGGTCTCAGAGGCGGCCGTGCTGCGGTCTCTGCCCAGTGCTTTTATTTTAACGCTATTGAGTGTCTTAGAGAAAGACTCAGTTCGGGAATAACTGAACACTTGAGCTTTTTTGGCGCAGTTTGACCTCTGCGGTCTCTTGAGTCTGAAGCGCGTGAGGCGTCCCGGATAATTGGTGTTGCACTTACTTTGATGTAACCCTTACAGAACTGAACCGTGTCCCGTTAACCTTGGCTGGGTTCATTTCTTTGCCTCTAGCATCTAGTACAATAATTAGGCTCATAGTAGGCAAGTCAGTGAGAATTTGAATTGTGCGTAGAGTGGTTTACTATTGGGTGTAAACCATTGACCTTCAATCCTGGATTGGAGCTGGGGGAGGTGAAGTCAGGGGAAACTGGCATGACATCCTGATGAGTTCTGTGAACCTGGCCTGTGGGGAGACAGAAGAGAACTGTTGTCCACTGTGTATGAAAAAGGTTTGGACAGTGGCTGTAAGCAGCTCACTGTAAATTTCCGTTATGCCACTTAACTAGCTCTGGGGCCTTGCTTAGAACAGTATGACACACGTTGTAAATATCCTTACAAGTGTTAGCTACCGCTATTGTTACTGAGTATCTTCATCCTCATTGCCCTTGTTCTTGCCATCACCACCTTCATGATTGCTGCTAAACGGTAAGCATCGTGGCAGCCGGGACTTTTCCCTCAGTCTTGCAGCGTTGGGCAAGGCGTAGGTGCTAGGTAAACACTTCTGAATGAATGAAAGCTTTGAATCAATCACAATGTGATACTGCCAATGTTTGAATGTGCCTTTTAATTATATTAATACTAGTGTGGGATTTCCCCCCCCCCTCCATTTTACAGGGTATAAAATTCCTGTCATTGAAAATCTCGGTGCAACCTTAGACCAGTTTGATGCTATTGATTTTTCTGACAATGAAATCAGGAAACTGGATGGTTTTCCTTTATTGAGAAGACTGAAAACATTGTTAGTGAACAACAATAGAATATGGTAAGTGTCTGCTGGTGGAAAGTAATTCTTTTCCCTAGAGTAAGTGTTGCAAAGTTCCCTGAAGACATTGTAGCACCTACTGCCAGAACCTACATATTTCCTCTTGAAATGAGAAATGAGCTGCGATTTTCCCATACAGATCAAAGCTTAACTTGGCATTGGACTCGTCTTATTTGCATCTATTCAGAAATCTTGTGTATTTATATATTCATGGTAAGCTTCTAATTTAAGTTAAAAACATGCTGCTTCGTACACATTTTGGCTTTCTTCTAAAACAATAATTATCATAAAACTATTATCAGAGTGATAATATTAAAAAGACACATAAAGTTCAACATTTATATTTTTGACTGAGTATCTCTTTCTACCTCATAGCCTCTGCCATTTTTTTCTTTAACTACAAGTTTTTTAAGTATTACTTATTGGAATTGAGATTTTTTTCCCTGACCCTCTTATCTCTGTGTAAATTTTATTGGAGAAAAGTTGTTGAAGATCTTTAGACAATGTCTTTAAGAAGCTCTGGGAGGTGGTGGGTTGCTTTTTCTTAAATAGGCATATTTCTCATGGGTAAACCATGGTGTGTGTCCTGTACTGAGCTGTGAGTGCAGAATGACTCGTATATGTGTGCTGCCTGCCCAGAAACCATGAAGTGAGCTACGTCATTTGTTCTACACAGGAATTTATCCATTTCTGAGGTTTCATTGGACAGTGTCATAGTGAAAAGAGCCCCAGGCAGCTTTCAGGAGGCCTGGGTTCTAAAATCATCCCATTTCTGTCACTACCCCTGTGACCGCAGACGGGGTTTTTTTCTCTTTGTGCCCCATTTCCCTTCCGTCACAGGGTATTGGAAGAAAGGTCTCTAAGGTTCTTCCCACTTTGAAGTCTGAAATCCTCTGAGCAAGGACTTAGGTAAAATTGTTAGCTTACTTATTTTTCACTTCTACTAAGAGTCGTTCTGTTTTTATTTTAGCCGTATAGGTGAGGGACTTGATCAGGCTCTGCCCTGTCTCACGGAACTCATTCTCACCAACAATAGTCTTGTGGAACTGGTAAGTTGAACAGGGGAAAATGTATTTGTTTTTTCTGTTTTGTTTTGTTTTTTTCTTTTATTAAAATTAATTTCAGGCATACAAAATAACAGTGATTAGAGATTTATATACCTCGCAAATAACCCCAACAAGTCTATTACCCATCTGACACTGTACATAGTTATTAGAATATTATTGACTATATTTCCTATGCTGTACTTTACGTCCTGTGACCATATATATATATTTTTTAACTACAGTTGATATTCAATACTATTTTATATTAGTTTCAGGTGTACAGCATAGTGGTTAGATATTTATATGATTTATGTAATGATCCCCCCAAAAAGTCTAGTACCCATCTGACGCTATGCACAGTTATGAAAATATTATTGACTATATTTCCTATGCTGTTCTATATATCCCCGTGACTGTTTTTTTTTAAATTATAGCTGACATGCAGTATGGTTTTATATTAATTTTAGGTGTACAGCATAGCGGTTAGACTTTTATATAACATAAGACGTGATCCCCTTGATAAGTTTAGTACCCACCTGGTACCCTACATAGTTAACTACAGTATTATTGACTGTATTCTCTATGCTGTATTTTACATCCCCGTGACTCTTTTGTAACTTCTGATTTGTGCTTCCTAATCCCTTCGTCTTCCTTATCCTAGAAAATGTATTTGGATGGAGGAGGTAAAGGGGTAAAGGTCCTACATGCTTCTTATAGTTTGGGAAATCCAGAAAATTATCATCCTTTTTCATTCTTTTTCTTAATTAATTCAAGATAGGGCCTTTTTCGGTTACAAGTATATGTTGCAAATGTCTTTTCCCACTCTAGCTTGTCTTTTGACTCTCAGGGTGTCTTGATCGGGAATTTCCTAATTTAAGTGTAGTCCAATTTATTAGTCTTTTGTTGTTGTTGCTGGTGCTTTTGATGTTCTGTTAAGCTTCAGCCCTATCCCAGGGTCATAAAGAAACTAGCCTATGTTGTTTTCTAAAATTGTAGTGTCCCAATATAGGAGCCACTCGCCACTGGTGTCTACTCTGAGTTGAGATGAACTATAACTGAAATACATACCAGCTTTCAAAGGCTTACTACAAAAAAAAATGGGATATAAACTAGTGATGCTTTTGTTACGTTGATGTTGAAATGAAAATATTTTGGATATTAGGTTAATGTATTTATTATTAAAATTAGTTTCACCTTTTTTTTCTATTTTAATGTAGTTAGAAAATGTTCGACTACATATGTGACATGCATTAAATTTTGTTGGACAATTCTATTGTTTTACTCTTCACGTATAGATCAATAATCTACTTAGAATTAGTTTTCCTGTGAAATAAGGGGCAAATTTCATTTTCTTTATTTGGATGTGATATTTCAACCTATTTCTTTTTGTGCTTTTAAATTTTCTGCTCTGTATGTATAATTTTTGACAAAATTGAGATTGTACTATATAAAAGTATTGTTTTGTAACCTAAAATTTTCACTGAAACACTGGGTGTTTAAGTCCTTATTATATGACTTATTTTGGGTGGTTTTTTCCTTACCTCCCTTCACTGTTTCCCTGATTGTTCCTTTCCGAATGGACTAGGTCCATAGGTTTCCTCAGATTCCCAAAGGGGTACTTGATGCCAGGAATCGGAAAGCACTGCTCTAGGCCATGTCCTTTCTAAAATATATGAGGCATTCAACCCAAAGTGCACACCTGTGGGGAATGTGTGGTACCATAGGGACTGTTTGCATTTTTATGTGTGTTGTAATTGTGTTGCAAGCTGTTTGCCAAGATGAAGGCTGAGTTTGTCCTATCTGTTACTGAAAGGTGTTAAAATCTTCACGTGACGGTGGATTTGACTGTGTACCTGGGATTCTGTCAGTTTTAGTTTGATATATTTTGAAGTTATCATATTTGATATATATAAATTTTAAATTGTTGATACCTTCCTGCTGAACCCTTTTATCATCATGTAGGGATTATATCTTATTAATATTCTTTTACCTTGATGTCTATTTTATGTGCCATAATATGCCAGAACAGTTAGTATTTGCATGAGAAATCTTTTCCCTGCCAAAATTTACTTTGAGGCTTTCCTGTGCCTTATATTTTATATTTGTCTCTTGAAAATAGCATGTGATAGGATTTTTTTTAATCCAGTCTGAAGTCTGTCTTTTCAATGAAGTAGTCTGTTTACATTTAATGTAATTACTAGTATATTTGAGTTTGTCTTTTCTAGAACTGAAATTGTCCCATCCATTCTGAATTTCTTTTTCTCACCTTTATTGCTGCTTATTCTCTTGCGCTTTCTTTTTTGTTGTTGTTCATTCATTTTTTTCTAGTTCACAATTTAGAAATTAATATTGAATAGACTATTCTTAGCATCCCAGGAATGAAAACATTATTGTATTGTTTTGATTACAGTTAACTGTGTTGATTACAGTTAACCAACACCTTTACCCTCCTAAACAATACAGCATCTTTAAACTTTTCAGCCCCACCCCAAACTTGTTATGCATTTAGCATGTTTTTGAAAAATCCATCAAGACGTCATCTACTGTTGAGGAAGAAGATTTTAAGTTTAAGAAGCTCAAATGTTTTTACCAGTTGATTCAGTAGAAATTTATAAAGCACCTGTGATGTGCTAGTGTCATGCTAGGCCCTGGAGCAGTAAAAAGAATAAAAGATGAGTCTTCGAGACAGAGGCACCCACCTTTTCAAAGACTCAAAACAGGGAGTGGCGTCTGTGTTCTGATCTGTGGCTGTTATTTTACAGGGTGATCTGGACCCTTTGGCATCTCTCAAATCACTGACTTATCTGAGGTATGAATTGATATGTGGTGGCAACAGTGAGGTCCTTTACAATAACACCCTTACCAGCCATGACCTTATAACAACCCATTAATAAAAGCTACCTTGTGAAAACAAATACTGAAAATTTACTTTGGGCCCAGTGCTCTAATAAAATTTCCCTAATCTTACTTAAGTTGTTATATATTGAAATGAAATATGAAGAATAGTGAACTTTTCCTTAATTTATGGACTCATTAGATTTTATTAAAACTGACCTCTGGAATACGGTGCTGCAAACAAGACTGGCATTATATTGTTTCTTTTCTTGTAGTATTCTAAGAAATCCTGTAACAAATAAGAAGCATTATAGGCTGTATGTAATTTATAAAGTTCCACAAGTCAGAGTACTGGATTTCCAGAAGGTGAAACTAAAAGTAAGTATTACTCTGTTGGTTGTCATTATAGATTTGTGGTTTTTTATTTATTCTTTTTTTACTGATTTTTTTTAATTGCCTAATGAGTTTTACCATTGGTTTCTAATAAAAATGTGGGGCAGAAACTGTTCAGTCGGATTTTTTTTTTTCACAGCAGAGTTTATGGTAGGGCTTTGAGTTAAAGCTGTCTTATGTGGCGTTGGTCATCCCTGAGTTACTCTGTCAACAACAGACTGTTCCCTGGGGGGAACTTAATATTACCCATTTTTCAGCAGCTTTAATTGTTAGAATGACTTTCCCTTTATTGGGAGTTCTTTTTTTTTCTTTTAAACCATCTTAGTTCCTTGGGAGCCCCTGCTTGAACCCAGGAGAGGGTCTTTCTTCAGGGAGCTTCACCAGACAGAAGGAGACCACTGTGTCTCCTAATTTGAAATTGGCTTTTTGGTATTTTTACCAGCCCAGAGTATTTCAGGAGAGTTTTCTTCCATGTTTTCTGAGGAATGCATCTAAATGCGTGTGGTATTCCTATTTCCATTAACTCTGTGTGTGGTGTCGCTGTAGGAGCGTCAGGAAGCAGAGAAAATGTTCAAGGGCAAACGGGGTGCACAGCTTGCAAAGGATATTGCCAGGAGAAGCAAAACGTAAGACACGGATATCCAATTTCACTCCACTTCACCTTCAGAAACACTGTCTGTCCGGCAGTTTGCCTCCTATGAAGTTAAACAGAACACCTGTGACTAATACAGTATTAAATCTGTGTGATGATAGTCTGTGACCATCCGCGGTCCATACATCACATGAGATGTCTACCAGGTTAGCAGCGCAGATGTCTCAGCATTCAGTCTTCATGTGACATTATATACATCCTGCTTTCTTGATAGGGACATGAACTGGGTGGTGTTTCTGAAGGAGAGAGTTTCTTGTATCAGTTTGTTAACAAAGATAAGATACTACACTGGTTGAATTACTTTCAAAAGCTTTTGAAAGTAAGAGAAGCAATTTTTGTTAGTCTGGATTTAACAGCTATGTTCTTCCCTCCCCTCCCCAGTTTCAATCCAGGTGCTGGTTTGCCAACTGACAAAAAGAAAGGTGGGCCGTCTCCAGGGGATGTAGAAGCAATCAAGGTAATTAGTAATGTGCTAGGACCCTTGGGTTGGCGTAGCTGCCATGGGTTCAGGACACAAAATTGTGTAATAAACCAAGTTCTGAACATTGCAGATTTACACACACACACATGATGGTTACAGTCCAGCTGTATTTCTGTATAAGGAGCAACTAGCTTAAAGTTATTATTTAACCAAATTTTGACTTGAATTACTTACATGAGCCAGTCGAATTGGAGGCAGCTCTGGTCATTGTCATTTTCCCAGGATGTGTTTATTGGGACAGTTAGTTACCTTTGAATGCTATCTTAATATTTGCCTTAGGTTTTACTTTCAAAGATTGGCTGTCTAAAGATCCTGCTTGATGATCAATGAGAAATCCTAAGTTTATAATATTGCCTTCTAAATTATCCAGTGACATAATCTAGGTAATTCAGTTCGCTAAAGTTTTAGGACATGTGCAATGACTATTTTTTGGAAATTTATGATTTGATTTGGGGGTTGGTTTCAATGTGCCAGTAAAATTCTTCCCCAACACAAAACTATTTAATGTTTCAACCCCAAAAGCTGCTATGACTCTACGTGTTTTCTGGGTGATAGAGCCTCGGGTGAAATTCACTGTCGCCTCCATTGTCCCTGTCCTGCAGAATGCCATAGCGAATGCATCGACTCTGGCTGAAGTGGAACGGCTGAAGGGCTTGCTGCAATCTGGCCAGATACCTGGCAGAGAACGCAGATCAGGTCAGGAAAGCATGTTTTGTCTCTGCGCTTCCAAAGTAACGGTACCCAGGGAGATTCCAGAACCGGTTAGATGCCATGGCCCAAGAATGCCAGAATGGTACCTCATCACCATCCAGTGTGATGTTCACGAAACCCCTTTACATGCACTTTGAAGATAAATGATTTGCTCTCTAGAATGTTATGTCATAGGACTCGGGGTTTTGTGTGTCCAATCTGAAGCAAATATTGTTTCATGGTCATATGGTGAGACTGAACCCTGGAGGCACCGTGTGGACTTCTACCTGTGTATACCAGGGGTTGCCAAAAAAATGTGTACAAGTGGACTCTGGTCACCGTTGCTCAAGCAGTAGTTTGTCGTCATCAGAAGTGTCTGGACGCTGATGGAAACCACTTTGAGCATCTCTTGTAATTGCAGAAGTCAAACGTGACTTGTATTCATCTTTTGTTATCAGTATATATTGAGCATTACAATTTTAATACAGGTTTCCTTTCTTAAAATGTGTATGCATTTTTTTGGCACCCTCTCTATATAGGATAGCTTAGGACACAGGCTCAAGAGCCAAACAGCGTGAAATGTTAGCCTCACCAGCCCTGTCCTTGGGTAAATTTCTTAATCCCAACTTAATCTGAAATCTGTTTCCTCATCTTTAAATCTGAGATAATAATAGTCCCAACCTCAGAAGGTTGCTGAGAGGACTAAGTAAGAAACTTCACAGGTTGGGCTTAGCACAGGGTCTGACATGAGCAAGTTTTTGATAAGCATTAGCTATTCCAGTGTTTGAATGCTAGCTTGTCAGGCACTGGGTGGGGATGTAAAGTAAAAACTACTCAAAATAATGCAACTTTCATGATTTGATATGAATGTGACTGGAAATGTCTAGCTGGACTGGCAGCTCAGGGAAAGTTTCTTTGGGGAAATAATGTTTGAACTGAAGCTAAAAGTGAGTAAGACATTAATTAGACCAGAGAGTGGTGTTTGGGCCCCTGGGGGTTGGTGAGGTCAAAACTTGCTATAATAACACCAAGGTGTTGCACACTTTTTTCATTGTGTTAACATTTACACTTGTGGCGCAACAGCAATGGTGGACAAAACAGCAGCGCAGATCAAAGCAGTGCCTGGAGGATGTTAGTAGTCATTGTATTTGCACCTGTGTTTGCTTAAGCGTGTCCTTCATGAGGCAGTGAGAATTAACTAATTTTATTAAATATCACCCCTGGAGTGCACATCTTTCTGATATTCTGGGTGACAGAGGGGGATATGCAGGGAGCCCTTCTGCATACCTAAGTGGGGTGGATGTCTGCAGTTGTTTAATTGAGAGGCAGGCCTCTTTGCAAACATAAGTGAGCTTATCTCTTCAAGGACGACAACTAATGGTATCTGTTACCAGCGCTAAAATTCAACACATCGAGTAGAAATAAAAGCTGGAAAACTTTGACCCACAACTGTAACCTTGACAGCTTCCCAGACTTTTCAGAGGAAATCAGTGGTATTATTGAATGTGATTTTTTTGATATTGTAAAATGAAATGGGTCAGCGTCTGGAAGACCTGCATAACGCATGTTTTCCAAATGATGTTACAAAATCATGCATGTGGAAATGATCCATTCAAAGTACAAGGGAGACCGATGGGTTTTCAAGTCAGAGAGTATAAAAAGCTCATTGATAAGGTTTCAGAGTACCGTGCAAACTAGCCTTGAAGAAAGCACCGCTTTGTCAAGTTTTGGCATCGTATCAAAAAAGAATACCCACAACTGTCTGCCAAGGCTAGTGCGGTCCCCCTCCCTTGTCTAACCGCATATCCGTGCGAGGCTGATTTTCTGCATACCCTTCAATCCAGACATCAAACTGGAACGGGTAGAACGATGAAGCCGCTGCAAGAGTCCAGCTGACCACTGTTCATCAGACATTACAGAGATAGGCAAAAACATCAAATAATGCCAATCTCACAAAATCCTTTTGTTTCGGAAAATATTCGATTTTATAAAAACAAACATGCACTTGTTATGGATTTATTTTAATGAATACCTGGTTTTTACATTACTCGGTTTTAATTTCTAATCTAGTATCGATAAACGTCACCTACGTTGGCAAAAGCTCTTGGGGTCCTAAAACCAAAGTGTTTGAGGACTGCTGAGCTAGACAAAGGCGGAATGGCGTTCTAGGGGGAGGGAGCTGCACAGGCACATCCCCTGGGAAACCAGAGCCTTGCACACTTGAACCGAGGAGGCCAGTGTGAGGGAAGCACCCAGGGAGAAGGTGGGGAAAAGGTGGCCAGAGGAGCTGACAGTGAGAACGCCTCGGGCCACACAGGGTGCTGTAGGCCATGTGATGGACCAGGCATTTGTTAGGATGAGAGGCAGTGAGTCTGACTTTCATAAAGCACATTTAGGACCCTTGCCTGTAGGAACTGACCATCCCTTTAATTCCTGCCAAAGACAGATGGTCTGTGGACTGTAAGCTCCTCCGGGGTGGAGCCTGCTGTTGGGTTTTTATGCCTAGTTGCGCCCTAGGGCGCAGGCGCCTCACAGAAGCACTGAGCAAGCACATTCTCTAAAATCAGTGTGACTCCAGCTTCGTGTTTTCCTTTAGGCCCCACCGATGATGATGAAGAGGAGATGGAAGAAGATCCGGTCACAAATGGGTCCTGAGCTGTGAGGCCTGAGTCCGTACAGGATGTATATATAACATGTCCACTTGGGGCGCGTCCTGGTTTTGGAACATGGAAGGATAGCCTTGTTTGTGTCAGCAGAAAGGAGTTCGTGATCATTGCTGAAATGCCTCAAACAGCTGCTGGAAATTTTTAATAGGAATCTTGAAATCTAAATGCCAGTTTTCTACAAATAGTAAAAATAGAGGGCACGCACTGTGACCAAGTTGCGTGTCATTGCAGGGGGTGGGGGGGTGCACTGAGGTATATGGACAGGTCTGAGTCAGAAATGGAGGAGGGCGTCATTTCTGTGCAGGCTGCCCAGTCCTCTATAAAACGTTTAGATTTTTAAATTCTTAATAAAACTCAAGATTGCCCGTGAGAATCTGTGATCTCTGGTGCTTTTTTCCTGCACAAAGAACAAGAGCTTCATTCCAAGCAGCCAGGCTTTAGGGCTTTGCAGGAGTCAGCATCCTTGGAAGTTTTTATTTAACCCTCTGTACAAACATCATGCAAATGATGAATTACTGCTGTGAAAAATTAGAGGGAATGCAGCTTCTGCTCGTTAGCTGATAGGATTCAAGCAGAGGGATAGCATGTCCCAGTGTTCAGGACCTCCTGTGGGGGGCGGGGTGGGGGGTCCTGGCTGCCCTGGCCAAGGCCAGGTTCCTCATGGCTCCTCCTAGATCTGTAATCAGACACACACACCCCACCCCCGACTTGGGCTGCTCTGAAAGCAAGGTAGTGAGGTGAGTGATTCAGGTTTTACGCCATAACACTGTTATCACAGTGGCTCCAGTCCACTGCAGGTCTGGATTAATGAGGGTGGCTCAGATCTACATGCTTCATTCTCCTTGGACAAGTCAGCTAACAGCAAAGGCACAAGAAGGGAGCTCTAGAGGCTTCTTGGGGCCAGACTTATTATTACTGACACACTGTTACTTCTGCCTACTTGCCATCCACCAAAGCAAGCCACCTGGCCAAGTCCAAAGTCAAAAGATGGGGAAATACATCCCTCCCACCTTGAGGCTATGATGACGATGTGGTTGCAAGGAGTGACAAACTGGGACCATTCCCTTAGTCTAACATGGTCAGTGACCCAGAATTCTGGATACTACCTTTGACTTGTTTTTGCAAATAACACCTGAGCAGTTACGTTGTGCAAGTATTTGCTGAAATGACTTGGTTCTAGACAAGCTAAGTGAGATGACACACCCTGATAAAAGAGACAAAGGTAACAATGTGGCTAGGAAGAAATGAGTAACTTCTGTCAGTGGGACCATAAGATCAATATACTAGGACCTGAAACAAAAGGCCATCACCCATGCATTCTAATTCAAAATCTGTTACATTTCAGTTGGCTGTGCCATCATTATACTATATGTACATATGTTTGTGCACAGGTATGCTGCAGTTTGCAATATAGTGTACAAAGGTGATAAGATAGGTATAGGTAAAATGAGAATGGGCCTAGGGGGCAGCCGTTTGGCCCCAACTTAAGTTCATACATCTTCAAAGGTTGCGATAAGTTTAACTATACCTTCCTCTACCCCAACGGATGAAGCTGACCACAATGGAAGATTCCACTATAGACCAGTGTACCTCCTGGTTGGAGAATATAAAACCCTAGTTAAACAGGGTCTCGTTGCATCTGACTCTGGCAACTCCTCTGCTGGTGTTTATCTTAAACTTTCTAACTTCTATTTCTTTGTGCCTCATGAGTTCTTTCACAACCCGTGAGTGAGTGAGCATGACAACTTTTAGGATTTTCTTTGCTGTGACCCAGGAACTCCAGTCCTTTAGTGGGAATCTCCTATTGCTTTCTGAACACACCCCTGAAGGGGTCGGTGCCCTGTCCCCAGAGCCACCCCCCTTAGGGAACTTCTAGGCAAACTAGGCATGGAAGCACTGACAGTATCCAAGTTTCGCGCCCTCCAATCACCTGTTAACTACTTTTTCACAATTATGTTAATAAACATTCAGCCAAGTAAATTCGAAGATACAGTTGACTTTCTTAAGCGATTCATGAATCAGGCAGCGTCCCATCTAGCAACTAGGAGAGTGCCCAGAGGGTTTGTGCAAAATGGCATGCTCTTAAAGGAAGAAAGGTGGGGCAAGGGAGCCTACTAGGAAAGGATTGATTGGGGGGAGGGCATGTTTTGGGAGGGAGGGAGTGGCAAGGTTTTCATTATGCGGGTAGCCTCTTTCTGGTAGAGGTAGAGAGGGATTGTGATATTACCTTTCTGATGCTGGACCAGCAATTTCCAGACTGACTAAGATTATGGTTCTGGGAGAGGCTGAAACAGCAATTAGGTCAGGTATTAAATCTAGGTTTGGTATCATGGGCTTCAGCACAAGTGACACAATTTTGTGCCTATGGTTTCCTCTTTAACAATTGTATTCCTAATTGCCAATTAGCTTTTGAGACAGCTAAGTGTGTTCACTTCAAAACCAAAAAATAAATAAATAAAAAGCCCTCCAAGTCAAATTTCAAATAGGATAGTTAAGGTAGGACTCAGGTGGTGACAGGTGAGGAATGGAAGGGGGTGGAGGATGGCGCTGCAGGCATAGGAAACAGGACAGTACTATAAATAACTGAATATCTTGTGACAGTAAAATTTATGTGTTGGAGCCGTTGCTATGATAATGCTTTCCCAAGAGGTTTTGATTCTGGAGGGGAGGAGAGCCATAAGGATCAGCAGGATTCTTAGCCTGAAAGGTAACACCAGCAGCGGGAGGAAGCTGCCCTGCTTCAGTACAAAAGGAAACATTCAGGTTGGTCGTCAAGGAGGTCGGTCACGCGGCCTCACTTAGGTCAGCAAGGAGGCTCACGGCTACCCAGCGCCAGGCCAGCTCAGGGGTTCTGCCCACGCCCCAACTGCGGCTCGCCCCGCCCCGACCACGCCCACCCCGGCACGCCCTCGCAGTGATTGGCCGAGCGTTGCCGGGCCGCCGAAACACCGCCCCCGGCGCGCCACGTACACGTAGGGGCGGGCCGGAGGGCGCAGGCTCAAGCTGACGCTGCTGGTCCTGGCGGAGCGCCGGCGGCTATGGAGCGGGACGGGGAGCCGCTGGCCGCGCGGCCGGCCCTGGAGGCCGAGGGGCTGCGCTTCCTGCACGTCACCGGTGAGTAGCCGCGAGCCGCGCGGCAGCGGGGTCGCGCCGCCATGTTCGGTGGGTCGTCCTCCGCTGCGCGCCCGACCGGGCCTGGGGAGGCCTGGCCCGGAGCCGGTTGTAGGCGTCACACGCAGGTCCTGGCGGCAGGTCCGGAGCGGGCGCCGAGGCCCTCCGGGAGCCGCACTTCCCTGGGCGGTGCTGTCGGGCCATTTTTGCGCGACTCTTCTACTTTGTGCCAAGCAACCCCTTCCGGTTGCAGTTACTGGGATCACTGCGCCGTTGGCGTTTGCCTCCAGGCCTCGGCTCCAACCCCCTTCCCCCCCATCCACACTAGTAACCCTGCACTGTATCAGCCCCCCACGGCCACCCCTTTCTGTAGGTTCCCTGGGTCTGAAAGGCCTTGGCCCTCCTGAAGGGTCAGATAACCTCTTCACCCCTCAAAACCCAGCTGCGGTCCCTCCGTCCTCTGTACTTGCCCCCCTGACTCCCCAGATGGTTGAGAAGTCCCTTCTCCGTGACCCCTAAATTGTCGCGCTTCTCGCTCGTACTTTAACTGCCTACTTAGGCCATTTCCTCAGCTAGACCTTGAAGGTTTTGAGGGTGGGAACCTGTGCTTGTTTTGTCTTTGTTGAATTTTATGGAAAAGTCCATACTAGTCTCTTTTTAGTTTCTCGAAAATCGTGTTCTTCTTTGCAGTGGGCTCCCTGCTGGCCACCTATGGCTGGTACATCGTCTTCGGCTGCATCCTTCTCTACGTGGCCTTTCAGAAGCTTTCCCCACGGCTGAGGGCCCAGAGGCAGAGGCAGCTGGACCAAGCTGCGGCTACTGTGGGTTAGTACCTGATACAGGATAAAGGAAGAGGCTTTGCACCCACTTCTTTTAGTGTTTAAAAGTTAGTCTGTTGTTAAGACTGAGAAGAGTATGATTCTAGTCTGTATGGGAGGGAAAGGAAACCGTGTTCTGCTTCTGGAATTGATTTTGGTGGATGTGCAGGAGACTGGTTTTTCGTTTCAGAGATTTTAATGAGACAGAGAACCTGCCTGGTGGTATGTAGGTAGCATATCTTGTTGGAGGGTTTTAATTTATAGGGTGGATGAAAGCGAAAACGTCACAGCTTCTCCATATTTGTGCATCTGCCTACTAACTCCGAGTTATCTCTAGGACCTTTGTGAGTGATGAGAAACTTAGTCTTTGTTCTCCATATTCACTGTGCTTTGATTTTCACAACGTGCTCATCAGACCTGAGTTCAGTTTGCACTTGGTTGTTTCAAAAATTTAACTTCCTCTGAAACAGTAGCCTTTTCACTAGTTTAGAAGCTTTGGTTTCTGAGGACATACCCAAAAGAAATGTCAAGCAGCATAATTAAACAAATACAAATCCCCATTCATTTGAGTCACCATGGTTACTGAGGTTGAGGAAAGAAAATGTCACATGTAAAAGTAGTCTTAGTGGAAAGACTTAGAAAATTCCTTCACTCAAACATACCTCTCCCATGAAACCCCATGGTCCTGCCATTCTCGCGGTGTTTTTCTGATTGTTGGCAGTACATTCAACAATAAACTATACAAAGTGCTACTGTAAATCTTGCATAAGATGCAGGATTTCATGAATGACCATGGTGTTGGGTAACAGCTTCAGTCACCTGCTACACCCGTCTCCGTGATCAAAATGCCGACAACTGCAGAGTACATTTAGAAGATGAGAGGATGGGCATATCAAAAGAGGACTGTTTTTATGAAGCACTGCAAAAAGTAAATGTGCAATGAAAGGTGTTGCGTTGTCCTGTTTTTGATTTTGTTAGAAAATTAGCTTGAAAAAACTACACTTGACTGATTTTATCCTAGGAATGATTCAACAGTTAGAAATGTTACTGAAATTCACAGTTCTATACAGTAGAACTATAGTTTTGTTGCTAAAGATAAAGTTCCAGTTATCTCTGCCCCCACCCCCACACACGTACCGGTGCTGTTTTGATCATGACATTTGTTTCATGTGGACTCAGTTAAGTTGCCTTTTTTACTACTGACGAGTAATGATGATCACCTATACTTTGGATGGTACTGATGTGGATATATAAGTTCTATTGTAGTTTTTCCTTCTTTAGCAAATCAGTCACACCACTGTGTAGTTGCCCCTCAGTGGTCCTTAACACAGTGGTCTGATTAGATGAGCAGATGGAGACTTTTACAGTGTATTTATATAATTTTGCTTTGTTTTATAAACCAGATTAGAATATACACAAAGCTGGGGTGCTCATTCCTCTTCCTGCTAGCTGAAGGGATTTTTCTTTCTTTTCTGTATAAATAAGGATAAAATACTTGAGTACCTTTACCTCTTCCTGGTATAGATCTGGACTAATTAAGTGATGGCCAATGACCAGAAAACTTTATCTTTCCTTGGTTGTCTTCTAGAATGCTGGTCAGCCTGGAGCCCGGGTGCTGGGAGTGTCCACATAGTGGAATGCATGCTCTGTGCCCATCAGATCATGGGGCCCACCCCAGACTTCCTGAATTGGAGTTGCTGAGGGAGCCCAGAAAAGTGTTTTGACCAGAGGTTTCTGGTGCTGTGTATATTTAGCCAGGGCTAAGAACTATGGCTGTGGGACAGCCCCCTGCCCTGTAAGCAGCCACATATATGCAGAAGCGTGGAATTATTTGTGTAAAAACATGTTTTTGCATTGTCTGACATCTATGTCTGATATAATTTTGTATATTTCTCGTAATATGAGCTCTTAAGAGTTCTCATTTTATGTTATACAAGGTGCTTTAGCTCACATTTTTTCTGTCATTTTATTTTCTGTCATTTTAGAACCTGACATTGTTGTAAAACGACAAGAGGCTTTGGCAGCTGCCCGTTTGAAAATGCAAGAAGAATTAAATGCCCAAGTTGAAAAGCATAAGGAAAAACGGAGACAGGTGTGAACTTGTTTGAGTTTGAAAATGTGGTTTTAAGAAATAGTTTGAGGCTTTAGTGGGTAAAAACTGTGTGTGTGCGCATGCACGCACTCTAGGGCAGGTCTTGGGAACAACCAGTTGTAGCAAAATAATTTCCACTTAGCTTAATAGTGGTCAGCGTGCTTTCCTTCTGCAATTTCTTACTGTTTAGGGGGAAAACACTCTTAAAGAAATGTGTCTTTTATTTATGTTTTTGCTTTGTACTGGTTCCCTCACAGCAGTTTGTCACCCAGCGAAACTGCGTCCAGGTGCCATGCCACAGGACACAGAGCACACATTCAGCTTCTTGCCCCGTTGTCTGTTTCAAGCTGTGTGTCTCACACAGTCTGCCTTGGTGGGGCCACCCTTCAGTGGACTGAAGGAGAGCCAGGGGAGGGTGGTGATGGGTTTGGTCCGGGGGCCAGACGGAGGTTTGAAAGATGCTTTTAAAGGCTCATGGTTTGGTTTGGGTAGTAGGAGGGGAGGGGGAAGGAAGACCAAGGATGGCTCTTTGAAGGGACCCGAGCAGCCAGGTGGATTGTGCCGCTCTTTCCAGGAATAAGCTCACGCACCACATGGGACCCAGCTTGTGTGACAGAAACAGAAGTGTAGACTCTGCTTTCTAGTTTCAGTCCAGGTGTTTCTGGGCCCCTCTTCACCCCCTGAGAAGGAATCCTCTGCTGGCTCTAAGGCAGCAGAGAAGCTGGTCTTCCTGTTGGCCTTGCATGTGGCTCTGCTGTTTCCAGGGTCATGTGCCTTTCCAGAAAGCACTTCCTGGTGGCTTTTGTTTCTGCCCAGTCATCCAGTACGCTGCCAGTCTCCCCAGCTTGGCTGCAGCCCAGAAGGGAAGGACAGAACAAGACCACACCTACACCCACACTCGCCTGCCTTTGTCACCCTGTCTCAGCACCCTTTTTCATGTTCAGTAGGCCGTCCGTCTTGCACTAACTTAAAATGTACTAGCACATTCCTGTTATTTAATGTTTTTAATCATGTGAGGTTAAACAAATTCATGACATAAAAACCTGCACCGTGAAACCTAGTCCCTGCCCTCCCTGCTCCCCCGCCTGCTGCTGCCCGAGCATTCCAGTAAGCTTTTTCAGGAGTTTTTCCAGAAATACTTTATCCACATACGAACACATGCATAGCTCTTTTTTCATAGAAATGGCAACACAGTATACGTATATGCCATTTTGTTTTAATTTAAATTTTTTTCAATTACAGTTGACCTTCAGTATTATTTTATATTAGTTTCAGATGTACAGCATAGTGGTTAGACATTTATATAACTTATGAAGTGATCTCCTAATAGGTCTAGTGCCCACCTGGCACTACACATAGTTATTACAGTATTATTGACTATATTCCCTCTGCTGCACTTTATATCCCTGTGACTGTTTTGTAACTGCCAGTTTGTACTTCTTAATCCCGCTCACCATTTTCACCCAGCCCCACAACTCTCCTCCCATCTTGCAGCCATCAGTTTGTTTTCTATCTATTAGTCTGTTTCTGTTTTGTCTGTTCATTTATTTTGTTTTAGATTTCACATATAAGTTGAGATCACATGGTACTTGTCTTTCTCAGTCTGACTTATTTCACTTAGTGTAATACACTCTAGGTCCATCTATATTGTCACAAAATGTAAGATTCATTCTTTTTTATGGCTGAGTAATACTCCATTGTATATATGTACCACCTCTTCTTTATCCAATCGCCTATTGATGGGCACTTAGGTTACCTCCATATCTTGGCTATTGTAAACAACACTGCAGTGAACATATGGGTGCATATATCTTTTCAAAATAGTGTTTTGGATTTCTTCAGATAATGCCTCTGAAGTGGAATTGCTGGGTCATAAGGTAGTTCTGTTTTTAATTTTTTGTGGAACCTCCATACTGTTTTCCATAGTGGCTGCACCAGTTTACAATCCCACCAACAGTGCACGAGGGTTCTCTTTTCTCCACAACCTTGCCAGCACTTGTTGTTTGTTGATTTATTGGTGATGTAATTCTGACAGGTGTGAGGTGATATCTCATGTAGTTTTTCTTTTTTTTTTTTTAGATTTTTTTTATTGGGGAATTGAGGGAGGGGAACAGACAAGTTGCTGTCCTTTTGTTCTTCAGTCTAGCTGTGGAGGACGTCACTTCACTGGCCCATGTTGGTATTATCATTGCGCTCTTCCCCAGGGAGGCAGTCGGTTGCCAGCCCTTGGTCAGCAGCTCACGAAAGCTCACGCCTGCTGCCGGGCAGCCAGCCCCATTGCAGCCTACGCTGTCTCCGGCGACTCACGGCAGCCCAACTCCAGGTTGAGCTGTTGTTCACCATCTTAGCTGTAGAGGGCGCAGCATCACTGGCCTTCATGTTGGGTCCCAATTGGGGCCCTGCTGCTCAGAGCTGGCATCCCAAGCCAACTTTTAATCAGTGCACCACTCGGCCGGCCCGTCTCATATAGTTTTTAAATTCCATTTCTCTGATGATTAGTGACATGGAGTATTTTTTCACATGTCTGTTGGCCATCTGTATGTCCTCTTTGGAGAAATGTCGAATCAGGTCCCCTGCCCATTTTTTAATTGGATTCTATGGGTTTTTTTGGTGTTGAGTTGTATGAGTTCTTTATAAATTTTGGATATTAACCCTTTATCAGATGTGTCACAGGCGAATATCTTCTCCCATTCAGTAGGGTGCCTTTTCATTTTCTTGATGGTTTCCTTTGCTGTGCAAAACCTTTTTGGTTTGATGTAGTCCCATTTGTTTAGTTTTTCTTTTGTTTCCCTTGCCTGAGGAGACATATCAATGAAAATATTACTAAGGGTAATGTCCAAGAGTTTACTGCCTGTTTTCTTTTAGGAGTTTTATGGTTTCAGGTCTTACAATTAAGTCTTTAATCCATTTTGAGTTTATTTTTGTATATGGTGAAAGAAAGTGGTTAAGTTTCATTTTTTTGCATGTATCTAATTTTCCCAACACCATTGTGGTTCCATATAAATTTTAGGATTATTTGTTCTAGTTCTGTGAAAAATGCCATTGGTATTTTGATAGGAATTGCATTGAATCTGTAGATTACTTTGGGTGGTATGGACATTTTAATGCTGTTAATTCTTCCTATCCATGAGCACGGTGTCTGCTTCCATTAATTTATAGTTTCTTCACTTTCTTTCTTCAAGGTCTTATAGTTTTCTGAGTACAGGTCTTTTACCTCCTTGTTTAAATTTATTCTTAGGTATTTTATTTGATTTTTTTTTATGTAGATGTAAATGAGATTGTTTTCTTAATTTTTCTTTTTCATAGTTCATTATTGGTATATAAAAATACAACCCATTTCTGAGTATTAATTTTGTATCCTGCTACTTTACTAAATTTATCTTTTATAATAGTTTTTTTGTAGACTCTTTCGGGTTCTCTATATATAGTAAGTATCGTATCATCTGCAAGTAATAGTTTTACTTCTTTCTAATTTGGATGCATTTTATTTCTTGTCTGATTGCTATGGCTAGGACTTCCAATACTATGTTGAATAAAAGTGGTGAAAATGGACATCCTTGTCTTGTTCCTGATCTTAAGGAGAACGCTTTTATCTTTTCACCGTTGAGTATGATGTTAGCTGTGGGTTTGTCATAGATGGCCGTTACTATGTTCAGGTATGTTCCCTCTATTGCCACTTTGCTGAGAGGTTGCTTTTCTATTATTATTAGTTTCAGGTATACAAAACAACACAGTGATTAGACATTTACACACCTCACAAAGTGATAACCCCAACAAGTCTACTGTCCTTGTGACATTACAATACCATTGACTGTATTCCCTATATTGTACTTTATTTCCCATGACTATATATTTATTGAGAGTTTTTATCATAAATGGATGCTGGATTTTGTCAAATGCTTTTCTGCATCTATTGATATGATCATATGATTTTTATCCTTCATTTTATTTTATGTGATGTCTCACATTAATTGATTTGCAGATTGAACCAACCTCACATCCCAGGAATAAACCCCACTTGATCATGATGTATGATCTTTTTAATGTATTGCTGAATTCGGGTTGCCAATATTTTGTTGAGGATTTTCGCATCTATGTTCATCAGGGAAATCAGCTTATAATTTTCTTGTTTTATAATATCTTTGTCTGGTCTTGGAATCAGTATAATGGTGGCCCCACAAAATGAGCTTGGGAGCCTCCCTTCCTTTTGAATTTTTTGGAATAGTTTGAGAAGAATAAGTGTTAATTTATATTTGAATGTTTGTTAACGTTCACCTGTGAAGCCATCCAGTCCAGGATTTTTGTTTGATGGGAGTTTTTTGATTACTGATTCAATTTCGTTAGTAGTAATCGGTCTGTTAAGATTTTCTGTTTCTTCTTGATTCAGTCTTGGAAGATTGTATGTTTCTAGGAATTTGTCCATGTCTTCCAGATTGTCCAATTTGTTGGCATACAGTTGCTCATAGTGTTTTCTTATAAACATTTGTATTTCTATGGTGTCAGTTGTCACTTCTCCTCTTTCATTTCTGATTTTATTTGGGTCCTCTCTTTTTTCTTGAGTCTGGTTTAAAGGTGTATCACTTCTGTTTATTGTTTCAAAGAATCAGCTCTTGGTTTCATTGATCCTTTGTAATTTTTTTTAGACTCTATTTCATTTATTCTCACACTGATCTTTATTATTTCCTGCCTTCTATTCATTTGGGGCTTTGTTTAATGTGATTTTTCTGGTTTCTGTAGGTGTGAGGGTGGATTGTTTATTTGAGATTTTTCTTGTTTCTTGAGGTAAGGCCTGCATCACTATGAATTTCCCTCTTTGGACTGCTTTTGCTGTGTCCCATGGATTTTGGGTCATTGTGTTTTTATTTTCGTTTGCCTCAAGGTATCTTTTGATTTCTTCCTTAATCTCATTCTTGACCCATTCATTGTTTAGTAGCATGTTATTCAGCTTCTATGTGTTTACGTGTTTTTCAGTTATTGTTTTTTTGTTTTTTGTTTTCTTGTAATTGATTTCTAGTTTCATAGCATTGTGGTCGGAGAAGATGCTTGACATGATTTCAGTCTTTAACACTTACTGAGACTTGTTTCATGTACACTTCAAAAGAATGTATTCTTCTGCTTTGGGTGAAATGCTTTAAAAATATCAATTAAATCTATCTGATCTGATGTGTCATTTAAGGCTGCTGTTTCTTTGTTGATTTTCTGTCTGGAAGATCTATTCATTGAAATCAGTGGGGTGTTAACATCCCTTACTATGACTGTTACTGTCAACCTCTCCGTGTATGTTATTCAATATTTGTTTTATATATTTAGGTACTCCTACTTTGGGTGTATAAATGTTTAACAGGGTTATAATCTCTTGTTGGATCAACCCCTTTATTATTATGAAATGTCCTTCCTTGTCTCTAATTACAGTCTTCATTTTAAAGTCTGTTTTGTCCAATATAAGTATTGTTTCTACAGCTTTTTTTCATTTCCACTTGCATGAAATATCTTTTTCCATCCCTTTACTTTCAGTCTGTGTGTGACTTTCAACCTGAAGTGGGTCTCTTGTAAGCAGCCTATGTAAGGGCTTTGTTTTCTTATACATTCAGTCACCATAAGTCTTTTGATTGGAGCATTTAACCCATTTACATTTGAAGTGATTATTGGTAGGTATGTAGTTATAACATTTCTTGTAATACTGGTTTGGTGGTGATGAATGCCGCTAGCTTTTTCTTGTCTGGGAAGCTCTTTATCTGTCCTTCGATTCTAAATGATAGCTTTGCTGGGTAGAGTAATCTTGGTTGTAGGCCCTTGCTTTTCATCACTTTGAATATTTCCTGCCAATCCCCTCTGGCCTGCAAAGTTTCTTTTGAGAATCAGCCGATAGTCTTATGGGAGCTTACAAAAACAATAATAATAACCTGAGGTTGGCCTGCCTCACAGTTAAGTCAGCTCTTGTTTGTGTCCTCCCGATTTGTCAGCTGTGTTCCATTCTGGTGTTCTCCGTGTTAGCTAGGAGTATGACACAACCTTCAGATCGAGGGATGGCTTCCTCCTCGACCCCCTGTACTTGCCCTGGAAGCTAGATGTGACAGGCACTTGGGTTTAGCAGTGATGGACCCTGAAAGCCATGGAGACATTTTCTGGATCTGGGCTTTCTAAGCCATCTTCTAGCATATACTTGTCATCTCTCCGTTTACTTGGAACCAGAATGACCTGCAGGTTGGGTCTGGATTCCATTGGGATTGAGAGATTTTGTGACCTTTGTGTGCATGAGAGCTGCGGGTCTCGGTTGCTGACAGGCACGTGCTTTTCCCGGGGCAGGAAGCAGAGGCCCAGATGTAGCCAGTGCAGCTTCCTCCTGCCTTGGGGACCTATGCACTGTGATCAGAGGCTTTCTCAAGGGCTCGTTATTGGGCCTAATTTCCTGCTGAGATTCGTTTTCCCTTGTTTTCCATCGTACTTGACTTTCAAACCACTTTCACGTCTGCTCTGAGAAGCAGAGGGGTTATGTGGCTTCCCTCAGGGACACAGCCAGGTAGCAACAAGGCAGGCCTGCCGCCATACTCACTCCAAGTCGGAGTTCTTCCACGTTGTCCAGAGTGTCCTGCTACAGGCGAACTTCACAACTGAATCCGTAGTCTTCTTTCTGTGACACTTGGGCTTGCTTTTTTTTTTTTTTTTAAGATTTTATTGGGGAATTGGGGGAAGGGGAACAGACAAGTTGCTGTCCTTTTGTTCTTCAGTCTAGTTGTGGAGGNAAGCATCTTCATAACCACTGACTTCAATTCTTTTTTTTTTTTTTTAAGATTTTTATTGGGGAATTGGTGGATGGGAACAGCGCTGGGGAATTGGCAGAAGGGGAACAGACAAGTTGCTGTCCTTTTGTTCTTCAGTCTAGTTGTGGAGGACGTTGCTTCACTGGCCCAAGTTGGCACTATCATTGTGCTCTTCTCTGGCGAGGCAGATCAGTCGCCGGCTTCTGGACGGCCGCTCATGGCGGCTGCTCACGCTGGCTGCTCGCTAACATATGGTAGCTTATGGCAGCCCTCTGCAGCAGTGGCTGCTGCCCACGCCGTCGCTGGCGACCCACGGCAGCCCAGCTCCAGGTTGAGCTGTTGTTCAGCATCTTAGCTGTGGAGGGCAGTGTCAGTGGCCCTCATATGTGGGATTCAAACTGGGGCCCTCTGGCATCCCAAGCCAGCTCTTAACCAACGCGCCACTCAGCCGGCTCTGGGCTTTCTTTAATAGTGTACAAAACAAAAGGTTCTGTTTGTGAATTAAACTCTAAATACAAGTTTTATTAACTGAAGAAAATGCAGGGGGAAGGTGGTTTGTAACTACATTTCAGTTACAAATTGCCAAAATTCATATTTTCTTTGAGATAGATGGCAGTGTCTGCACTCATTCTATATGATTCTTTCTCAGCTTGAAGAAGAAAAAAGGAGACAGAAGATTGAAATGTGGGACAGCATGCAAGAAGGGAAAAGTTACAAAGGAAATGCAAGAAAGCCTCAGGTGAGTACAGACTGGCCTAGTTCACATTTTTTAGGCAGATGAAGACTTGTCAGGTAGCATGTTTTTAAGCCTGTGTATGTTCAAACAGGAAGAAGACAGTCCGGGTCCTTCTACTTCATCAGTCATCCCGAAACGAAAATCTGACAGAAAGCCTTTGCGGGGAGGTGGTAAGTACCAAATATTAAAGCATCCTGAATAATTACAGAGTGTACTTACCTTTTAAAAACAAGATTCCCAAGTTTAGGATTATGACGATTAAATAAAAGAAACAGAAGCAAAGCAACCTTCAGTGGCTGGGAGTTCAACCTGCTGAGTCCTGTTGCCCAGTGGGTGAGGGGCAAGGATGTGGGCACAGTTCCTGCCTCCAGGAAGCCTGTAACCTTGACCTCAGTGTCCAATCAGTTAAAAAGTGAATGTTCAGTAAGAAATTGCAAGAGGAGGTCAGTAAAGGTCACCAGTAAGTAACTGGAATGACTGCACTTGTGTTTGGTGCTCTGACTGATCCCCCACAGCCCATGAGGGCCGCCATGTGTCTTGCAAATAACCTCCTCAAGGACACGTGGGCAGATGTTCATCCGGAGCTTTTTACTGTCCCCCGCACCCCGCCCCAGGTGATACCGTAGCAGTCTGTCTCCATCCCATCCTGGAGGGCTTTCCCGTCCTTTGGGGAGGATGGGACTCACACACAGTGACAAGCAGCAATGCTTTGTGCCTGTCAGGAGCTCTGCATTAACCTGAGGGAGGGGAGAGCAGAGGGACTAGAACGTTGCGTGGGAACCAGTTCTGGGCTGAAGGCTTCGTGTTCTCACGGAGGAGAGGGCTTTCTGCAACGGCAGGGGGCTGAGGGCCTGGGTGGCATCTTGGGGAGACGAGCATGGTTCCTAAGGTGGCATGGACACAAGCTGAGTCACCCTGAGAGGCTGAGCTCTGACCCCCTTTGCACCAGGAGCCCAAAGCTGGTTTGCCATAGGGGAGTGACATGTCTGAAAAGAAAGGCTATTTTATTTGTTTTGTTTTGTTTTTTTTTTAGCTGAGCCATCCTGCTACCTGTTGGCAGCTCAGCGGCAGCTCAGCTCGGGCTGGACTCAAACTGCTGTTGCTCAGAGCTCAAGCTCTTGAGTGAGCTCTTAACCAACTGAGCCACTCGGCCGGCCCAAGAAAGGCTATTTTAAAACTTTATCTTGCTGGAAGACTTTCAGAGTGAACAGTGGTGATATTTCGGAAAGTGTAAATTGTAAAAAGTGTGATGTGTGACATGCTTTGTGCATGGCCGCTTTCAGTGTTCCCAGCAGCCTGGAGCTAGGTGGTTTGACTAGCCTGGTCTTACAAATAAGGAAACTGAGGCACAGGGAGTTATGGCCCAAAGATCCCATAGCAAGTAAGGTGCAAATGCACCTCATTTAAGCTGAGCACTCACCCTGGTCGCCTAATGTCTGTGCCCATGAATGACCCATTGTGACCGGTAGGAGCAGCCAGTGCTATGCTGTTTTCATTTTTTAAATGTATTTCTGTAGCTTGAAGAGTCCTATTTGAATGTATACATGTTATTAATATGTAGAAGAAGTAGTAGAAACCCTTATAGACTTATCCAGCCATCTTGAGAGGGTTTTGGGGGGCAAATACGTTGTGTTTTGGGGAGTTAAGACTAAGAAGCAGAATGGCTTCTTTCATTCCTACCAGCAAGTCAAATCAAACTGCAATGACAGTATAGAGTTGTTTTTTTTCATGTGGTGGCTAAAAGGTTATGAAACTGTCCCTGAGAATAGAATCCGTATCGTTGCAGTGCCCTGCGTGTCAGGCTCGCAAGCTTATGTGTGATACCGAATTCCTAGTACCATTCTGCTTCCTTTCTCTCCTGCCAGGTTACAACCCTTTGTCGGGTGAAGGAGGTGGCGCCTGCTCCTGGAGACCTGGACGCAGAGGCCCGTCATCTGGCGGATGAGGCTAAGAGTCTTGCTAGTGTCGCTTCTGACACAGCAAGATGAATCCTGAACCCTCGATTCAGTTGCCTTACGCAGGCTTTTCACAGTGACTAGCCAGGGGGACATGGGGTTTATTTCTGTTCTTACTACACCTGCATCTTTGAGGGTTGAAGTCAGCATAGGGGGTAGACATTGCCACTAGCCAGTAGTAGCAATTGGTCACACCTCACTAAAGCCAGTGACTGCGTAGATTTTGTGGGTGATTGCTAGTTGTAGGCAAAGGCCTCTGGGTGATTGGCAGTCTTAATAAAAGAGACCTCATAATGACCCTTCAAGTTAGAAGTCGTTGCTGGTAGGGCAGTCTCTGTGACAGGTTGCGTTGAATGATGTGTTCCTTGTAAATGGTGAGCCCACCAGCGAGGATTACTGAAGCAAACAGTTGATGGGGTTGTTTCTGTATATTTACTTTCATGTATAGAACTTTATAAATAAAAAAAAAAGAAACTGTAAATATTAAAAAACATTGCAAAGACCATTTTTAGCATCTTTATTAAGTAAATTCAAGGAGATGTCTTTATGAGCTTGAATCTGTCAAACATTAAATGACTTTCTATCATTCACAACCTCCTCCTATTATTACTTATTTCCCAACTCACTGTGCCTCTCCTGCAGTGAGCATGGAGTGTGGCAGGCAGTGTGGTGACTTCTGGAGGTGGCAGACTCCTTGGGGCTTAAAATTCACAAGATCTCTAGCGCTTGGAGCTGAGTTGCTGTGTTAATAGGATAAAGAAACATCTTGTCTAGAGGTGCCTTGGGGACCGCCCAGGTTTTGAAGAGCCCTGTTGGTCACCCCCCTGGCCCATGACTCACTTAGTACAGTCGGTCCAATGGCTCTGTCAGGAGAAAAGGCCAGATAGGAAATATTTTAGACTTTGCAGGTAGCAGAGTCTTTGATGTTTACATTTCTTAAGGATTGTTAAAAACATTAAAAAAAAAAAAAAGATTCTTAGCTCATGGGCTGGATTTGGCCTGTGTGCTAGGAAAGTGTTGTAGAAGTACTTGATATTTTCAGTTCCCCTGCATGCACCTCAGCGTTCCCGGGGTGCCCACAGTTCGCAGCAGGGTGGCTCTACCCCTGTACTTGTTTTCACTCGGAAATCAAAAGTAAGTGGAAGTGATGTCAGTAAGGATAGCCTATTTTAATTTACATTTACACAAGTAAATTATAGACTCGGTTCTGTGTCATTTAGAAAGGCTTTCTCCACTCCAGGATTCCCCTCCATTCTATTACTAGTACCTTTTTCATTTAAACTTCCCAGTGTTCTGCCCACACGCATTGGGGTGTCCCACGGGTGGTTGGCGCATGGAGGAGGGGCGGCTGGGACTCCAGGATGCTGGGGTCACCCTCTATGATCACCAGACGCCTGCTCAAAGGGGCGTGACCCCACAGACCCTCCCGTCCAAACACTGGAGCCTCCTGAGCGTCCGCGATGGGGCCAGGAGGCTTTGCCACCTTGGGCTCGTCCTGTCTATAGGGTTCTTGTGTTGCTCGTAATTAGCGATTTCATTAAGAAAACCAGAGAAATTAAGATACGCGTATAAACCTGCAAAACGGCAGTTTCCAAACGTGTGGGCGCTCTGTCGCTAGATTAACTGTCACACGCTGCAAGACTCGGTGTGCAGCCCCCTTGGGTGGGGCCCGTTCGCCTCCCTCACCAACTGGGCCTCCTCCCCAGACACTGCGGCCGGGGCCTGAGGGGGTTGGCAGAACGGGAACGACGTCCCCGCGCTCAGCCTCAGGTCCCTGAGGGACCACCCGGAGCCTCCATGGGCGCCGCAGAGGGCCCTGCAGGGCGCAGCGGTGGTGTAGCCTCCCCGCCGCGAGAAGACGCGGCCGAGGGCGAGCAAGGATCCTGGGGCTCCGCTACCGACGCTGTGAGGCCGTGCGCGGGCGAGCGAGGTCGGCCGGGTCTGCATTGCACCCACCCCTGCTTCCACGCACAGCCACCAGGCTAAGAGGAGAGTTGAGGGGTCAGGGGCAGAGCGCCCCGCCCTCCGGGAATATCCGCTGTGTTCGGGCAGCCCCGGGAGAGCGCGAGCGCCACAGGCATCGGTATGGGAAGCCCCGAGGGGGCCACGGGGAGGCAGCAACCCGAGGGGCTGCGTCGGGCGAGGGCGGCCGACAGCCCTCGGAGAAGGATCCTTCAGGGTACGGTCACCACGACCGCACCGGGGGCCTGGGGTGTGGCGCGCACGGGTGGGGACCCGCCACCCTCGGGCGCTAGAGCCTGGAGCGTGCGCCACAGTCGGGGCCCGGCGCGCAGACCCAGGGAGGCAGGTCGTGGTCAAGTCCAGAGGCCTGCGCGTCCAGAGTCGCCCTCTGACCGCAGTCGCCGGAGAGCGGCCGCTTATCCGGTGGCGGAAAATACTAATTTCAGATGAAAAACTTAGCGCGCCTGTGGATGGGGCCGAGCCACCGGTTACGGAGGCGTCCTGGCCCCCCAGCACCACCCCATTGTCACCACTCCCGGAGGCCATCTGGTCGACCCTCCGGGCATGGTGGCAGAGCCGGTGGGAGCTGGGCGGCCCCAGGCCGGTCCGTCCGTCCGAGTCTCGGGATGGAGACTTAGAAAAACTTGCGCAGAGGCGCGCCCGACGGCGGAACGCTTGTGGCCGCCCTCCTCCGGGCTCCCCGCACTGCAGGGCCAGTTCCCGGGCAAGGGGCACTCTTTCCCTCGCGGCGGCCCCAGTCGGCTCCCGCGGGCGGAGGGGCACCGGCTCGGTCCTGGTGGATGGACCCCTCCGGGCGGTCCCACACTCTGACCGGGAGTTTTGGCAACGGTCACCCTCCACGACCCTGCGGGTACAGTCTCCGGAGAACGGATAAGGCGCCAAGGCCCGGGCGCGAACGGGATGAGTCTGACAGTGCCGCCGGCCTCCGGGAACTCGCCCGCTTGCACCGCAGCCACATCTCGCCACGGAGCTCCGGAGGGAGGAAGCAATATAAAGGCGGCCACCAGATGGCGCCCGACAACCAGTGCCAACGTCAGCGGGGCGGATCCGGATCCAGGGCCGGCCAGGGCGCGGCGCCGGCCGTCCGGATGCCTAACCTCGCCCCTGTCCACCTCGGAGCTCCCGGCCGGCACAGCGCGACCCTGGTAGCAGAAGGGGACTCGGAAGGGCTTTCGGGCGGCGGCCGGGAAGGGGACAGACACCCCACGCGACTTCCCGGCGGACGTGGAAAACTCCCCGGGATGCGGCCCGGGCTTCCCGGAGCCGCACGAGCAGTTTCCGGGCTCCCGGGGGGACTTCTCCGCAGCCGGGCGGGGACTGTAAAACCGAAACCATGCAAGTCCTCGGGACAGCAGCGGACGAATCGTTTTTATTCTACAACTGAAACCCGGCCCTAACACGGAAACCAGACTCTTTTTCTTCCTAGGTTTTTGTTTTTTGCTTGTCAGGCGATACGGACCTTCTCACCGCGCCCCCAAGACCACCGGAGAACGAGGAGGATCAGACTGATCCCAGAGGCTCCCGCCGGCGCAGAAAAGCCGACAGATGGTCGGAACCAAAGTCGATCCTGGCCGGAACCTTTATGCACAGACCCAGTCCTCGCGGACTGTATTCAGACCCAAGGGGTGCCTAGTGATTTGCGCTTGGCCGGGCATCTAGACCTCATCCAATCAGACCGTGCCAACTTGGAATTCCTTTACGCTTCTCTCACCTTTCCCACTCCTACCTTGGGTGGCTTAGTTCCAAGACTGTCCAATCAAGACTCCCGAGTTAGAATCAACAAATATGTATAGTTTCTCCTTAAAAAAAAAAAAAACAATTGGCATTTTTACTGGTCTTATAGTCATCTTTTCAAAGTAATTTTGTAAGAATCAGCATCTTTATGCTAGGGAATTTTTATTTCTAAGGACAAAATGATAAATACGGCCGTATGACCACACAAGAATACAACATTTCTGCCTGGCCAATCAACCACGAAATTAAACAGCAACTTGGCAAAGAATGTTTGCAAATCATAAATCAATAAGAAGACTAACAAACAAGTCAACAGAAAAATGAACTGAGAACACAAATAGTAAGCTTCATAGAAAAGAAAATTCAAATGGTTTCTAAAGGAAAAGATGTTCAACCTCGCCTACATAAAAGTAATACAGTGAGATACCTTTTTCCCCTATAAAGCTGGCAAATGTAAAAAAATAAAAATAAAAAAGCTAAAGAACATATCGGGACGGGTGGGGGGAGCCAAACATCCTGACATCTCACGTATTGTTGATGGGCGTGTAAATATGACCTCTAAAGAAAGCAATTTGAAAAAACAAACAAAAAAGAAAGCAATTTGGATATGTCTATCAGAGTCTTAAATGCACGCATGCACTCTTTAACTCCACATTTCCCCTGCTATTGAGTTGTCGGAAAAGTCATGATGCATGTTTGCAACAGATGGCACTAGTTCATTTTTGGAAGTACTAGAGTCATTCGCATCTATGCTATTGCTATGTCATTTGACAGCTGACAGTTCTAGCTTCATTCTAAAAAAACAATTGAGCGATTTGGTTGAGTTTTGGAGATTTTACAACAAGTTGAAGATGGAAGATCAAACTGTGCATTTTTGCCATATTTTACTGTTCTACTTCCATAAAGGGAAGAACGCGCAGCAGGCTTGTGAAAAGTTGCATACAGTTTATGGTGACAATGCTCTATGAGAATGTCAGTGCCAATGAGGGTTCACGAAATTCCGTGCTGGTGATTTTCATCTCAATGACGCTCCTCAGTCAGGGAGGCCCACTGAGGTTGATGATGACAAAATAAAGGCATTGATCGAGTCAAACCCACGTTACACAACACGAGAGATTGTAGAAACATTGGCCATCCATCATTCAAGCATTCACGACCACCTGAAGAAGCTGGGATATGTAAGCAAGCTCGATATTTGGGTTCCACATGAACTCAAAGAAGTTCATTTGATGGTGCTTATAAACATCTGCAATATGCTCATTAAACGTGAAGAAAATGATCCTTTTTTGAAGTGAATTATAACTGGTGATGAAAAGTGGATTGTTGACAACAATGTGGTGTGCAAACGGTCTTGGTCCTGATGTGATGATTTGCATCAAATGACACTGAAAGCAGACATTCATCAGAGGAAGGTTATACTCTCAGTGTGGTGGGATTTTAAAGGTGTCGTGTTTTTCAAGCTTCTACCAAGGAACCAAACAATCAATTCAAATGTGTATTGTTGGCAATTGGACAGTTTGAATGAATCCATCGTCCAGAAACGTCCAGAGCTTGTTAATTGTAAAGGAGTTGTGTTCCAGCGTGACAACACGAGACCACACACAAGTTTGATCACCTGTCAAAAATGTTTGGAGCTTGGTTGGGATGTGTTGCCTCATCCACCATACTCACCTGACCTTGCGCTGTCGGACTTCCACTTATTTAGCTTTCTTCAAAACTCCTTGTGTGGTGTAACGTTCAAGTCAGATGAGGCTGTAAATTAGCACCTTGTTCAGTTTTTCACAAACA